CCCCCCCCCTCCAGTCGCCAACCGACATCTGTAAAGCGAGGGATGACTCAATATGCCCAGTGACTTCTGCCACACCCACAAGTCACTTCCCGGACATCGCGGAGACACCATCTCCCATGCTGAAATAACATCCCCTCCAGTCGTCAGTCGATACCTGTAGAGCGAGGGATGACTCACTTTCCAGCTCACACTTTGTCACCATCATTCTGTATGGCTGAAATAACCAGTCAACCATGGACATCCACTCTATATATGGAGGTTGCTCACTATCAGAAAAACAAAACCGAAGTTAACCTAATCTAACCTAACAAAAAGTCTCGGTTCAATTTAAATCTTCCTCCTGAACTAAACTGAGAGATGGTGATCTCTAATGCACATAGCATAAGAACATACAGTTCTAAACTCCACTCAAGCTTAAGTTCATTAGCTGACTTGACCGTCGGAGGTGCTACGGGGGAACTAGTCTCCGCCCTCTTACGGGTTTGTTCTTTTGGTCTTTATAGCGGATCCGTATATCCTAGTTCAAGAATCAGACATAAAGTCGAAGAAGGGAGCGGGCCCTTCATCATCCTTCATCACCCGGCAACCATCCTCTCCTGGATTAATTGGCTGTTTGATATTGAGCATCAACAACTATATCACAATTCTAGCGTAGAAAGGACATCACTCTAAATAGCTTTAAGCCAATATTTGTGTTGAACTGAAGTATCTATTATTGCTACTATGTGTATATATTTTTTAAGAAAATCATGTCAACGCTATTTAAAGAGAAGAGTATATTTTAACCTCTGATATTATAAAAACTAAATATAGCCAATTGAGTGATTAGCCAAAAATAACTGACATCAGAAAATCGTAAATAATAAGATAAAGAGGAAAAGTAATTACATTGCCAGCAATACTATAAATAGCAAACTACAGTGTAAAGTTAATCTATTTCTTGAAGCCCAACTATTGGTACTAAAAGTTTAATGGACATATTGCAAGTAAATTCATATGCAAAATTCCTTTGCGAATTGAATGATCACTCATCTTTAAAGACTTCAATATACTAGTAAATAGAGATGTTGTACTAGATTAATGTGTTTATAACTCATAAATAATAAATAGATCACGTGGTCACAATCTGGGTTGAAGGAAATAATGACAATATTTCATTTGAGTGAGAGATTATTGAGTTGATGATCAATTCCATTAAAAACTTTATTTTTTTTTAATTTTACTCTATTTTTATCAATTTCAATAATCATGATATTCAACCACGTGCATTGCACGTGCGTACCAACTAGTACAGGGAAAAAAGCACAAGGCTGCTTAAAACATACGTATTGCAACCAACACAAACTCCTGCAAATATTTGATCACCAAGAGGCAACAGCGTCCAATAAAAGAGCAATAATGGATGGGGGCAAAAGCTTGAATTCAAAGCAACCTGAAGAATTGAATCAATATTTACTTAGCAACCTCCAGCTGAAGTGAAACTGAAATATCCCTTCCAGCAAAGTATAGCACAAGGCACCGAAACCTAGTAAGAATACATCGGACATTCGTATCACAAGAAATTTGAGCATGCACATAACACCATAGTCACAACTTTGTTCTTCTAATTTTTATTAGAAAAATAACTACAAACTACGAAAATGTTAATACGAAAACAAGGAGGCAAACTAATATTATACGGGAAGCCAGCATATCCTACACGAAACAATTAAGAGGAGTCGTGACAGTTTTTATCATCATCTTTGAAGCATTTATGATCTAAAGTGAATTCACAAAGAAAGGGCAAAACTAAATTAAAATAGCACAAGTTCACCGTCTCACATTTTCCCAATTTTCTTAATGAACTGTATCTAAACACAGAGTGAGCAAGATCCTCTTAGCATTTTCCTGACGCTGCGTATCTAACGACACACTTGGTGCCCAAAATTCTCTGAAGTATCATTGATTTCTCAAGCTTCAAATTTATCGAGCAGATCTCATCCGAAATTATAATAGGATCAACTCGACCTGTCGTTTCTCGATTAGTTTCTTTGGACAGTTAACCTTTAAAGCAACTTCAACTCGTAAGAAAACTAAAAACACCTAGCTTTAATAGCAATTGTTCAATGTCGCGCTCACAAGTTACTTACTAATCATTCATTAAGATCAACCTGAACCTTTACTAAACACTACAATGGGTACCAAGCTTCAAACAATACCCAAACAGCTATAACTTCTGTGAAGAAAATATAAAAATAGTGACAGCTAGATTTACTCGCGGAATCATTTTAAACAAAGTTCTCAATTTCAAGTGGAAAAACATAATATCAGTGTGCAAGACGACTACATATCTCATCCGGGAGAGACATGGAACCAGAATTAGTTTTAAACAACAGTAGAGTTAGCTGACACAGTGGGGAAAAAAAGAATAAGAAGAAAAATAAGAACAATATTATTAACGACCAGAAGATCTACTGCAAGCAGAACTATAGACATTCTCACTTAAAAAAAGACGACAGTGAAGAAACCATGAAGAAGAAGAAGACTATACGACTGACCAGAATATTTATCGCAGCCAAAAGTATACGTCTTCGCTTTAGAAAGGGCGGTAGGGAAACCATAATAAAACAGCAGCTATCAAATTTGGTAAACCATGCGCATATTGCATTCAGAAAGCGCATGGAACAAATTTGGCATGAAGGTATAAAAACTGATAACTGAAGGAATTAGATTCAGTATTTTTTTTTTCTTCCCCCTCCATACAAATGCAAATTTTGACATTGAAATATCTCTAAGTAATTAATCCAAGCTTCCCAATCTTTATCCCATTCAATCTTAAATTGTAAGTATTAAGTAGCCACATGTTTGGCTGAATTCAAATGTTGATTAATGGAGTAATTTTTTCAAAGAATACAGCATCAGAATATCTCTACAGAACCAAAGTTCTGAAATAGAGATTCAATATAACTGAAAAATACCCTAGCTAAGATCTATTTCTAATTATTTATGTCGCCATCAAAAGTAGTACTATGATCACAAATGAATCATTCATATATAGAAGATGATTTCCAGTGAAGGTCCTCATGGTTGTTACACATGAAGAAAAACATATTCTCAATTTATGAAGCTTCAGAGTTCATAACTTCGTTGGATAAAAGGTTGGTGGTCTTGAATAAAAAAAAACTGTGAAAGTCCCTTGGCTCAGAGATCTCAGTAACAATATACAAAGTGGGGGGGAAAACTTCTTCAGGTCAAAATCCTATATGCTATATATCTCCCTTCTCCACAGAATATCTGGTTTTCATCCATAATCAGCCTTGCGGCTTTCAAGGTTCAAGAGGCACGCTACAAAAAATTATAGAAGTTCATCTGGTGGAAATAAAAGGAAACAGAGTCATTTCAGACATGATTCGCAACCATGCACACCAACATTAGAGGTATTCAGATACATTGTCATAACCGCCTAAAGTAAATCAGGGCACAGGGCATATTAAGTACTAAGAAACATGTTAGGAATGAGTTAAGTTAAATGATGGAAATGACAAAGCCTTGTGCCACAAATATAATAACAACCAGATCACCTTCTTTCTTAAATCTTCTTTTTCTTTCTCAAAACAGCATCGAATTGATGATATGATTCATGGAACTAGTTGTGAAATTTTTCGATGTGATCTAAGAAAAGTTGGCTACATAAAATTATTAACCTGTTGGTGTACGACATGAACCAAATCCTCCGAAAACCCCCCTTGCTAACATTAATTGTGGCACATGATTAAATTCTTCAATCTCAAATTGAATGTTGGGGGTCATGAAAACCAAAAATAAAAACACAATGAACCCAAGGGTTACACAACTTGAACCGTGTTGTCCTTCTATTGAATCTTGAGTAAAGTCCAATTGATAATAGAGATTACCCAATTAGGCAGAATTAGCAAATCTGTCTGCAACAAATCAGCAGCCCATCACTGCACAGTTATAGACAAAGCTTCCTGAGTGCTTACTAGCAATCATATTCCACTCTGGCGGTCCGTCCCTTGGGACCCATGAGTGAAGCTCTATCATCCCCCCACCCGAAGCCCTCGGCCCTCCAATCACAACGAGTCGATCACCGCAAGCCCTAAATGCCAGTCCCCAGCCATTCATTGACACTGGTCTCTCTGGCAAATTTCCGAGAGTAACCCATGAATTATTTTCCTTGACATACTTCCTCACCTCCTTCTGCCCATAATCTGCAGCATAGAGTTCATTATTAACAACTGCAACTAGTGGCGGAGCACCACTAGCACCATTAAGCCCCAACGACATGTTAGGGATCACCCTCCAAGTTCCTCTCTCCAAATCAAACTCCTCCCCACACGTCAACAACTCATTCGGTCTCACCATTCCACCAATCACATAGAACTTCCCATCCATAAACACGCCCGAACACATTTTTCTCGCCTTGTTCATTCTAGGAAGTGTGGTCCAAGTTTGGGTCAGAGAATTGTATAATTCGGCTGAATCCAAAACAGCACCCTGAGAATCACTTCCACCTGCTATTATAGCCTTCTCACCAAGGCTAGCAGAACCAAACAAGCACCTAGGCAAGTTCATTACTACACCAGGAGACCAAGAATTATTGAGAATAGTGTATCTCATCACAATATGGGAGTTCACCCCCTTCCCAAAAACAAGTAGCTCGGTGCCCACAGCAAGAGACTCCTTGTCCGAGAACATGAAGCACTCGTTGTGTGGCATTCTTGGCAAGTTAATCCAACGACCACCATTAGGGTATGGATCATAAGCCTCCCACTCAAGAACATTGCAAGAGAAATAGACCCAATGCTCAGTGATCCCCATCATTCGACGAAGCCTATAGAGCTCACCAGAACGGATCAAGTCACGGAAACCACTGTTGAGAGAGGCAATCGAACCATAGTCTGATCTGGAGCATCGAACAAGGCAATTGATCGAGTTGTCCCGACCAATTGGATTGATGAGGGAATTGGTATCATTGTAGGATTCACCTTCATTTCCCTGGTGATTTGACCCGTTGAGATCAACGGAGTTTGAGAGATTTGCGAGTGACTTCTTCCTCCTCTTTTCTGAATCCTTGACAAATTCTTCTTGTAGGTCGGTTTCTATAGATAGAGCGCGCTTTGGTTTAGCGCATCTCTCGAGAAGACTGCAGGTCATGTAGATCCAATGGGATTCTTGCTCGCAGGCGCTAGGTAAGGCCCTGGATATCAAGCAAGCCTGGCCTTCTAGCATATCCTTGATGCCAAATGAATAGATATAAGAATTTAGAGTCACCAATCTCTTTGTAGTTTGTACCTCAAATTATTGTGCACAACCTGGATAAAAACAAGAAAGTCCTCTTTACTATCAGTGAATCCAAGCACGTTAAAAACTAGCTCCTATGGAGCATAACATTCTGATAAATTTACAGTAGCGAAGGGGATTTTGGAGAATTTTCATCAAGAAGCAAGAAAGCCAAGCATGCATCACACAAATTAAGAACAATAGGATGTGTTCAGTTAAGAGGATGTTAGTATGCAATCTGAATAGGAATAAAATAACAAATTCTTAAGGGAGAGTAGCGAAATCAATCGCAGAAGAAAAATGAGAAGCTCAGTTGTTTCAAGTACTCCACAATCTTGGTGAGGAGAAACTTTTAGTGGTACAAGGCAAGTACTCAACTTATAAAAGGCAAAAAAGTAATTAGGGGGATAAAGATTTCAAAGCCCCTAATCAAAACTGGAGATTTCTGAATAGAAATCTAAAGACCATCTCTCTATTTCAAACTGATGAATGCATTAAAAAAAGGAGTTTAAAAAAACGAACAGAAGAGAATTTCCCTTTGAATCAGCCATGCAAGCAATTTATTGCAAGAAATTAGCTGTTTCTCGATGAAATGAGATCTAAAGAGCTTCTTTCCTAATTAATCAGTAGATCATAGAGGACAAAGCTACAATCTTTTCGAGTATCTTAACAAACCCATCAATCAAAACTGTCAAATCGCCAACAAATTTGCAGAAAAAAAATCCAATACTTAATCGAATCCAATCGATCTAAGAAGTACCTGCAAAAAAATAAAAAAGATAAACAAAACCCAGAAATCGAAAAAATCGAACTAAAACCAAAGTCGTTCAAACAATTCAGAGAAAGCTCAGATCTTTTATCCTTTACCTCACATAGTCAGAAGCCCAAAACACCAAACCAAAACAAAATAAAAAAAACCAAGAAATCTAAGAAATTTAGAAAAATATCGCAAAATCTACGAAAATAGAAAGTGGGTCAGAGATCTAGGAGCAACAGATGGAAACTTACACTAAAGAGGAGGAGCTAAGGAGAGGATTAAGGATCTAAAAATCCCTCCTTTTTAATTGAAATTTCTCCCCCTTTTATCCCCAAAATACCCCTCTCTCCCCCCTAATTCATCCCTCTCTCCAGCTTCTTCTTCCTCCCTTTAGGTTTTGTTTTTGGGCAATCTGGAGCTTTTGGGTTCGGGCTGGCCCCTATATTTATCCCCCCTCTCTCTTCTCTTTTCTTCTGTTCAGATAGAGAATTTTGTTACTGCGTAATTTTATTATTTCTGAATTTTGGACCGGATGTTTAATGCTTGTCTTGTTGGGGGGGTTGGGAGCAATTTTGACGATCAGGTGCGTGACGGCCTAGTTAACTGGGAGTGATAAGTGATAACTGGGGGGCTGGGGCCTGGGGGGGCTTTAGTTTTACTTTATTGCCTTGTTTGCGGGTTTTACTCCTCGTGCTAATTTCCTCTATTTTGTGATTCCTACTTTAGAAAAATGTTGTTACTTAATACCAAGCATAAATTTTATATTTTATAGTGAGTTGTTTTATTCTCATTCACTCTTCAACTTATGTGAATTCGATCCCCAATGTGAATGTGGATTCTCATTTGAATTAGTGGATGAGAATGAATCATCTCAGTACCAAGCAAAAAAAACTTTTATTTAGTACCAAGTTCCTTTGTGTATTACTTGTGAACATCAAAAGGTAATTAAATTATCTATTGGTTCTTTTTTTGGAGGGGGTGTTGGTAGTTGCAATGAATCTTATACTCACCAATGACTTACGTAAAAACATTTCATAATTCATGACATTGACCAGAAACTTACCAAACGAGGGGGTACTAATTTTTAGCTGGATGTCTTAACATGAAAAGCTAATTAAATTATCTATTGGTTCTTTTTTTGGAGGGAGTGTTGCGTGTTGGTAGTTGCAATGAATCTTATACTCACCGGTGACTTACGTAAAAACATTTCATAATTCATGACATTGATCAGAAACTTATCAAACGAATTATGGATTCGATTGTAAAATTTTGATAATCCAAGTACCATAAGGTAAAACTTTAATTTGTTTCTCTTGCACACTAAATTAACCCTTTAATTAGGAAACACTAACAAGTGGCACTTCGACAATAACTAAGATTAGATTAATAGATCAAGGAGGGGGGCTTGTTCTCAAGTGGTAACATTATTTAATCAGGATCTCGCCATTAGCTTACATGTAAACCATATAAACTGCCAGGTTAATTAATTAAGTACTCAAAGTGCTTCTACCTAATTTTTTTGTGTAATTTTTGACTTGCGTCCAACTCCAAGCTTATCATAGCGATGAGACAATTGGACGGCTGTGATTGATGGACCCCTTCAACTCAGTATGGGTTGGTCCGTTGAATTTTAGGGAGGTAGGGTCGACCATTATTTCCCTTTATTAATAAATTGCAAAAATAATTGAATTAGTTTTCTCCTTTAACGTACATCCTCTCAAGCTTACCATTTATACCATCTAATCCCTCAAAATACCTATTGCGTGTATTTTGTTAAAGAAATATCAAGTTTGTATATCCAGTCGTCATCACTTGTACTCATCCAAATATTTATTGTGATATCCTAAATTATTATAATTTTCGTCAAGCATGGAAGCATCAATCAGAAGCACATATAGCTTCATTGAACTCCTTTTTTTTAAAAAAAAAATTTCACCTGCTTGCATTTTTATATCGGTTTTTCTATAGAGTGCCCTTGGGCACTCTATAAGAGAGGAGAGAGATAGAGAGAAATGAATGGAGAAAGGATCCCAATGCAAATCAGGGGGGGCCCCTCCTCATTCATTTCTCTCTCTCTCTCTCCTCTCTTATAGAGTGCCCAAGGGCACTCTATAGAAAAACCGTTTTTATATTAGCATGTTTAACCTTGCGATCCGCAATATGATCAAAATTTTTAAGTTTACTATTTATAATAAGACTAAACTTTGATTTATTTTATCTAAAATAAATTCTAAAACACTGCATCAATATTATAACTATATAAGTTGGAATGGCTTCAATGAATCAAGCCGCAATAACATGTTTTGTTCGTAGTATGATAACTAACTAAACATTTGCTCGTAGATGATGATATAAAATTTGGAGGTTTTTTTCTGGAGGATGTGTCTGAAAATAGAATTTCAAGAGTAAAGACATAAAAGACAACGTTGATGAGATCGATTATATAAGCAAGATACATTTATTTATTTAATAAATTGAGAATTTGTTGCAACTAATGACGGGATTGGGTGATGGACGAGTCCAAAAGAAATGACGGCCGAAACGTTAGAGTCGTTGCCGTTCCGTTTTGATTTGGACGGGCGTGGCAACGGGGGTTGACTTCCACTTTTGACTACCGGAGCTAACCCATAATTTTTTGACGAGTGGAAATTTTATCAAATATAATTCTATAAAATACAATGGTAAATTAAGCAAAGCCCCAAAGTTCTTTCAGCAGATTGCAAAAAAAACCCAAAATAACTTTGAAAATCACTCTAAATCCCCAATTAACTTTTGTATATTGTTGAAGCTCTTAATAATTTTTTGCGTTTTTTTCATATAACAACTATAAATTAGTACCTAAAAACAACTTAAAAAGGCAATTTAAATGTTATCGGAGATTTTGTGTAATTTACCCAAAAGATATCGGGGGTTTTCTGTAGAAATTATTCGGGATTTAGTGTCATTTTGATCTATCTGGGGTTCACTACAAAACGACGAAAGTTCTTGGGTGTTTAGTGTATTTTTCTAACAAAATACAAAATTGACAATATGTAGATGTAGAAGGTAAATAAGAATGAAAAATCAAACACGCAGTCTCAGCAGACACTTTTGAATTTTTTTTCTCAAAGGGCATGAAATGGAAGTTTCTCCACTTGAAACATTGGGAAGAACAAAAGCGAGAGCATATATCAGATGCGTGCATCTTAACCTAGCCTACACCCACGCTGAAAAATAAAATAATAATAATAATAATAATAATAAAAAGAGTGAGCACAAATTTATTCCTTTTCCATTACAACATACTAACGAATCAATTTGTGATCTAAATGCTTGCCCTTTTCTCAGGATTATTCTCATGATCACATCATAAAATGTTCTCGGTTGTAAAAGACCAGGACAACTATAATCATAAGTATCTATCTAATTAGGGTTAATTAAATCTTGAATGTCAAATTCTAGAGCATTCACGCGAAGATAGCAATGGAAAGCACCTGATACTCCAATAATACGGCATTTCGTGGGCACAAAACGAATATTTTTTTGTACGGTTTAAGATCATTTAACAACGTTAAGTTCCTTTTCTATTCTTTAATTTGCTAGGACTCAGATATTTTTATATACTTTTATTCTTTTAATGCAGGGCTGAACTTTAAAGAGAATATATAGGATACATATTTATAGGGGGGAAAAACCAGTGCAATATGAATAAATTCCTAATTGCTTTCGCAACTTGTAAGATTGATTTGCTATATGAAAAATTCCTCAAGGATCCAAAATATGGGACCAATAGAGGGGACAAGTGAGGTGTTCCCCTCCTATTAGATAATGAATTGGTCATCGTTAATGATGGCTGTTTGCGTCAAAAGTTGGTTTTGTCATGAAATTCATTATATCTTCAGTCGATTACAATAAATTCAAAAAGAGATAGCCTTTTTATAAGACTTCTTTTACACAACAAAATAAAAATTACAACTCTTGGGAAACAAACGCAGGATCGTTGTTTGGATCACTGCTTGCGTGGGATCTTTGCCTGTGCCGGGGGTGCGTTAGCCCGTGGACCACCAAATCACAGATTCTGATCGAATCGTGAGGGGTTTATGATTCTGACTTCGTTTATCGAAGTGAGAACTTGAAACGATATCTTATCAAGGTAAGATAGTCGTTCTTCTTGAAATCAAGTCAAAGCCTGAATATCAATGAGTTACAGAAGCTCGAGTACTCTGCCCTCTCTGCTCTGAAATCAGCCTCTGGATGCTCTCTCATCCGCCTCCTCAAAATGGCCTTCGGGGGGTATTTATAGCCCCTATGAACAGTTGGCGGAAAACAGGCTCGCGAGACAGCATTTGCTGTCTCGGCTGTCGAGACAGTGTTTGCTGTCTCGGCGGGCGAGACAGTGTTTGCTGTCTCGGCCCGTACAGTAAACGCTATCTCGGAAACAGTAACCGTCAGGCAGTTTTTGTTTTAACTGTCTTCCCACGTTTCAAACTCCGTTATTTTGGCAGTTATCCCCCTGATTCTCGCCCACGACGTTTCCCACGTTCTTGAACAGTTAGTGGTCACGTGTAGGGCAGTTACAAAGGCGGTTTTAACCATCTGAAAGCTGTCTCACGTGCGAGACAGTAAATTCTGTCTCGTATGGTGAGACAGTAAAGTCTGTCTCGCACGGCGAGACAGTAAAGGCTGTCTTTTCTTTGATTTTTTGGATGATCTTCTCTTCAGTTGTATTTGGATATCTTTCAGCATTTTTTGACGCCTACAACTACTCCAGCCTATACTTGTGTTCTTTTTGACATTTTGGATGACTTTCTTTTGAGCTGTGATTGGATATCTCTCAGCATTTTTTGACGTCTACAGATACCCCCTCCAAAGTATTCCAGACTCAATTTTTTATAGAGGAGTTCTGGGATGCTTTGGATAAGATAGGTATTACTTATGATCCTTTCCATGCTTGGTTGGGTAGATCGTATAGAAGAACCTGTAGATGGCTTCAACACTTGATCTCTTTGTCTCTCAGTCTATTCAGTGCTTTGTAGAATAGCTAAGATCCTTTCGGCATAGCGTTCATCGCTTGACCGTCGTCGAGATCTTGAATTGAAGCTGAAATTTGTACTTGTGAATTCAGCTTTTGTCATCAAATTGATACCGCATTGTTAATCACTGTATCAGTCTTCATAGGAACACAGTTTATACTCATGTATTTTTTTTTGGAGTTCTCGGAAAATAGTTTAACCTCATATACCCGTTGGGAGGTAGCCAGGTTATTCTTAAGAATATTTTGAGTGATATTCTCCAGAAACTTCCTGTTGATGGTAGGGAAACAGTTTAGACTCGTGTACCTATTGGAGTAATATGGAGAGATGAACCCGATGATGGAGAGGAAGAATTTTATATTCTATCTCCTGGTCTCTTGTTTGTTGGT